GAGGCATACAGCTCAACAAAATCACAATTTTTTTTAAAAACTGCATAACAGCATATGTTTAGAATTCGCAATGCAATGTTACGTGCTGGCATACAATTTTATACATATTTTTTTCAGTTCTTCCTTAGTTCATCATATTAATATTCAGTTTTCTTAGTAAGATGGCTAAATTTTTTTAAATCTTTTTGTTATTAACTTTTTATGTGTTAACTTTATGTACTAAATATCACGTTGTTCGCACTTGCGTCACACAAAATTCAACAGCAAAATCATAAAACATTTAAAAACAGCGCATCTTTAGAACTTCCGATAGAGATAAAAATGTTTTATTTCATACAGTGTTGACACTGCTCGCTTTCAAATCGTTGAGTTTGTTAATCTAAAATTCATTAAATTTTACAAAATATGCTATAAATAATAAAACGAACTTGAAATTCCAATTCGGTCTCCTAGATGCACATGTTCGGGTGGAGGAGACGACGTTATTCAAAATCTGATGGCCGTCGTTTTTCATAGTGCAAAGCCCATACATACATACGTACATGCAAATTCTTCATTATTTTCCTTAAAAGTAATACAGGACGATAATATCTGGTAAGCAACACTTTGAAAACTAATACGCCTTTTATAGTGAACCGACGCAAAACTTCATTTCTAGATTGGTTTGGTTTATTTGTGACAAAGTACTCATGGGTTATCTGCTTCAGCGGCGGGATGCCTTCGTGAAGGACTTTCGAAGGGATACACGTTACACGTGGCGAAAACCACGAAAACGCCCGTGCAACCAGCCCGTTAGCGGGGATTTCAACCTCGGGCCGAATCACCAGTATTCAGGAACTTTACCGCTCGGCCGCTGGTTCCCCCATTTCGAGATTAATAGCCCCTTTTGGGCTAAAAATGTCTGAATATCATGACTGTGTAACTATAGCCACCTAATTAGCCATTAGAGAGAATATATTAGAATCTGCAAAATAATTCATGAAGAAACCTAAATTTCGGCACCAAGTAATTTTTTTTGATGCAAATAAATTTAATTTTCAGCACTCGGATGGACGTAGTGCGGAAGAAAGCTGGCGAGGCTATGAAGAAAGAAGGTAAAAAAACAACAATAAAACGCAATAGTGTAAATAAATAATTGTGGTTGCAAATGGTGTCGGAAACTTGTACAAAATTGGTGTTTTGAATCAATAAGGTTACTTTAACATTTTAGTAACTAAAAACAAAGTGGGCAAATTAACTGTGAAACAGTGGTTGTCATACATTGAATACCACATATTTTGAGAAGTCCACCACAGTCACGATACGTTAACTCAGTCAAACATATAAGGGAAGAAGTAAAAAGGAAACTTCAAAACTACCCAATATCAAAATAAATATGGACTTAAGCAAGATTTACTACAAGAAAAGAAGTATACTCGAATTGAGTAAATTCAGTGCCTAAACGCTATTAACGCAAAAGGATACTGCATTAAGTATTTAAGTGCATTCCTTTGTTTTAATATTAGCATAATGTTATGTATATGAATACTTTTTTGCACAGACTTTTTTCTACTGCATATAATATTAGCCTTTAATTTTATTACATGTTTACGGGGTTAAATTACATGATGATTTCATTTATTTAAGTATCAGCAGCATATTTAAATTCATATTTTTCAGAAAATTTTTAACTCTTTCTAATCGCACCAAGTGTATGAATACTACCTTCCCCCCCGCCAAATTCTCCATATAATTTCAAACTCGCATTCAGTTATATGATGACAATACTTGATTGCAACAGCAAACATACTAGTGATAGAAACCGAACATCGATCACGAAAGAAATTTAAAATAAAATTTAAACTGTATAGAGTAACAGCAACCCCGTCGAATTTTCCAAATACTTTGAAGACAAATCTTTTGTAATTTTTCCTTTCAGCTCTTTAGATAATTTTATCAGAATAAGAAAGATATATTCATAAGATATACTTCATATTTATAATATGAAATTAGATCTAAGCAAGAGATTACAGAAGGGCTCTTCCCCTTTTCCCGAAAAAAAGTTTTCAATTTTTATACTTTTCCTGGAAGAAGTAAACTTTAATCTAAGGAATTGAGGACGAAATTTAAACAAATAACCATGATTTATTATGGTGAAAGTTTTTTGATTATTCATTTAATGATGAAATGATTTAATGATTTATGAAAATCTATTTTTGAATGGATGCTTATATTTTTATTATTGCATTTATTTACTTCTTTTAAGCCCGAAACTAGAATGAGAAATTTTTAACTATTGAATTAAAAAATTACATCACCAACTATTTAATATAAACTCATAACAATCAAAAATCTATAAATTAAGCAGATTAAATTTCTTTTAGATTAACCAATTCCCAATCCAAGCTCAAATTTTTATTTAAAATTAATCTATATCTAAAATTCTCTATTACATTATAGACTAAGTACGTTTCTTAAACATACCGCTGATTATTTTAACAATTAATGCAACTACTACACTTTTGGCAGAGGGACTCGTCAAATACTTATTTTACTTTAATAATAGGGCGCAATTTAATATAACGCGATTTTCTTTCAACCTAATTACTTAGAATCACTCAGTTATCGAGTCTCTAGAATGTAACTTATATGTCAGCTGAGTTCCCAATTGCTCTATTTACTTTTATAGTACTGGACTGTACTATTTGATTAACGCAGAGGCACGAGGGCTAAGTTCAGAATCGCCCACTTATTTGATTGGCGTTTAGCGCTTTTTTACAAGAGTAAGAAGAATTGGATTTTTGTCAATTTTATTTGACTTTTTAAGTGAAAATAGGTCAATGTGTACATGGATAAAGTCAAGGGAGTGCGCAATGCCATTTTTGTGCAATTCTGGGATGTTTTTTAAATGAAAATAGGTCGATGTGTACATGGATACCGAGAATGTGCAATTCTTAAAAACGGGTCAAGCAGTGGGCGATTCTGCACTTTCCCCGGCACCAGGGTTATCTGCCTAAGGAAGGGGACTTCGTGGAGGCCTTTCTACAGAAAACTGGTTCGTTTTCATGTTACACACGAAGGAAACCACCAAAAACACCCATATAACTTTCCATATAACTTTAATCGACGGTATTGTAAACTTTAACCTGGCCCCAGATCGTTCGCCAGGATTTGAACCAGGGTTGAAATATTAGTGTTCAAGGTTCCATTCACTCGGCCACTAATGATTTTTTATGATGCCAAATTTAATACAGGCATTTAAACATGCCTTCAAGGTCAATCGTGAAACCTACTATCATTTTTTTTTCAGTTCATTAACTATTCATTGAATCTCATGTTGTTAATTCTTCTGTAAGCATAGCGGGTACATAAAATTTCTAACGTACAAAAGCGAACACTTATGTAATGTAGGGCAATGGAAAAGCATGACTTAAAACTATAATAACGATATAGTTTCAAGTCATCGATTACGCCTTTTCTATCAATAATACAGATTCACGAAAGTCTACAGGAAAGGATTGCATTTATCATCTACATATATCAGTTGGGTACAAACTAGAAGATGCATGAAAGTTCAAGAAACATCACAATTGTTATGGTTTAAAATAATAGTTGAAAAAAAAAACCCTCCTACTATCTTATTTAAAAACCGAAAATAATGCCATCGTAATTCTCCCCCCCCTCCTTTAAAATTTTTGCATTTGAATACGAATTAATTAAACAAAGGATGATCTTTCTTATTTTAACGCTTGGTATTCAGTTCAGTACTTCATTCACAATTCTCTGTTATATATAAAACTGTGAATTAAAACTACTATTATGTCTTTAATTCTTTAAATAATGAATCTAAATTACAAACAGCCTCATTATTTAGTAATTATTAGTAATATTTTAGTACACTAAAAGTGTTTCATGACCGACAGAAGAAGCATGTATAAATGTAAAATTTGGTTTTATTCAACAGTACAAAAGATATAAAAATCGGGCTCTAACTTCATATTTTAGACATCAAAATCTGAATAGAATAAGAATGATATGCTGCGCTGTATTTGAAATCATTTTTATTACGATAATATAGGACTTATCTGTATGACAAAGGTAATGAATGGCATTGACACCATGCAAGACGTTAACCGATTAAGTAACGTGTAGTAGTACTTCCTATTTCACGCCGAGAAAGAAAGTTCAGCAGTTTTATACGAACATGAACTCTCAAAACATGATTTCATTAGGACTTTTCAGTTTAAAATTAAATTACCTACAATCGCAAAGCTAACTTTTAACTTGCAAGCCACAAATTTACACCTTACGGAAAGAGTGCGCATAACTACTTCAAAAGTAACATCCCTGAGTTTATAACAAAAACACACGAAACTCTTCGAATTCATTTATAACGAAAACGTAACTAAATTTGTTCGCATTGGTGTTACGCATGATACTCTTTTATTTGGAGCATTAAAGAGAGGTTTAACAATATCGAAAAACTGAAACCAGATTCATGCTACGGATATGATAGAATTTACACTAATCGAAATGTATTCATAGTGTTTTCATACAGCAGTTCTTTAGCTACCAACGAAGCTGCACCTAACCAGTTTTCTTAGACAATAAATATGAATTAAATTATATTCAGATTTACTCCCGTCATCCTTCACGATTCACAGTTTAAAAAGAGCAAGTCTTTTGCTGTCAGAGACCTGTGTCTAATCATTTTTCTTAGTCAATAAATATGAATTAAATTATTTTAAATTTAGTCCTGTCGGCTTTTGTGATTGATATTTTAAAAATTATTATTATCAGATAACAGTATTACATGCAAATCAAGTCCTCAAAGACAATTAGCTAAATTTTACCTACGATCTCAGAAAGCATTAAAATTTTATAGTACAGAATTGGCTTACTTGAGATATTAATTTCATATATAAAAGTGCAATTCTAAGGAGTCATTTCAGACGCCTGTCAAGTAGCACATATACATATGTACAAACATAGGTATTAAAAATTTAAAAAAAGTATAATACCTTGATAAAAAGCTGTTGTAGCAAAATGCAGCTGCAAAATGATGGGTACAACTGCCAAGCTCCAACAAATAGGATGCATTCTTAATCTTGCTAATTATCCGCACACTTGTCCAAATGTCAGTTAGCTGTAAGAACTCGAATGACCCAGAAAGGGTCTAAGTTCAAAATCCAAAAGAAAAATCATTTGAGTAACATCTGAAAGAGTTGCTAGTCGAACAATTTATAAATAAGAATGTTTCACAGGCGAGTTTTTAGCCAACATCCGCCAGTTTAAGCTCAGCAACACGGGATGGTAAACTCTGCATCATTCGCCTCGATATTCTGTGACCGTCTGATCCCGCAGCAGACCTAGGATTTCGGAGGTTACTCTGGTTTCGTTACGAGCGCCATCTATCGCACGATTTGAGAATAAATACCCTATCCAATACTCAGAAAATTATGCAGAACCATTTATCGGCGGGGGATCTGAAAAGTGAAGGGGACCTGACAGAGGATTTAAGCTTATTGAGTTGAGAAGACAGAGGATTTAAGCTTATTGAGTTGAGAAGATAAAACTGTATATCAGTTGACATTATTTTCCGCCATGTTTTAAAAACGATTATTTTGTAAGTGTGGGTGTAATTACTTTGTAGGCAATTACTAATAATAATGTAATAATAACAGTTTATTCAATATGCTGAAGATTATTTCTTTACCCGTCCAAGATAAAGTGTGTATTTATAAGACATTTAGAAGCTGAGCATACGTTAAACTACTAAGAATTTCACTGTTTTTGAGTTTAATTAGAGAAGGTACGGAAGGCGGGTCTGGCGGACGTGGTGGCCCCCAGGGGCTCCGTGACTAATACGGTCTTTTGGAGATAAATTTTTCTAGTTAACGAATGATAATGAACCAAACCTGTAATTACAATTAGAACAATTAAATAATGTATTAATCAATCTATTTTACATGGAAGTAACAAATCGAAAAAAAAAAAAAAAAAAAAAAATGATATTTTAAATTTTATAATTCTCTCATCTGCTTATTTTTTTCTGATCTTAGAAATTACATGCTAAGATTTCACGAAAAAGACCATCCAAGGTTCCAAACAACTTTGCTTTCCAGGAGCGTTGTCAGTTCCGAATGAGGGGACGCCCATGTGGAGAAACTGAGTTCCTCCAAAAGAAACTAATGAATTATTTGAGTTTGCATAAAGGGATATAAACTGCATTCATGTTAAACTTTTGTTAAATTTTATATTTTTATTGCATTGATAATAATAAGACATTTAAATCTTTTGCTAGATAAATTTGATTTTCCAGTCTGATGATATCCTTCTCAGTAAGTTTTGTTTTGATTACGACAAAGTGCAAGAAGGCCATCTACCTAAGGGAAGGGTTGTTCGGCTAGCAGTTGGAATAACCGGAGCTCGAATCCCTGCGACGGCATAGCTAATCTTTCCCCTTTCCGGCTTTAAATAAATGACCATATAATTCTGATTTTGGATATTATAAAATGCATATATTACCTTTAAAAAAGGAAGCAATAAAAAGTTTTGGCTTTAAAAAAATTGAAAATGGTTAGTTTTGGAACTATTTATTCAGTATTATTGTTTTCATATTTTTGTTTAAGACGGATTTCGATTAAGCCAGTAAGGGCAACCAGATTTCGATTTAGAGAGTAAGTTCAACAAGACTTTAATTAAGAGGACACGTAATTATACAACAAATAACTGTTACAGAAAGTAATTAAATTATGCCGTGGGCTGCTATAAATCTTTCTATTCATATTTCTATACCATTTAAAAAGGGTTATGTCCCATTTCAGGCTCTCCCAGTTGAGGCCCTTTTTAAAAACAGTCTCATTTCAGCTTTTCTATTCAGGGTTTTAAAATTGACTCCAGACCTCCTGAATGCGTTTCGAGTGTGCTTCCAGTTACACCACGAAGGCATACGGGAAAAAGGGAGAAAATACCTTATAATGAGAATACGCAGACCTTTGAAGAAATGAAAGGTTCATACGTACTTTCCTTTCTCCTCTCAGCCTTTGCTCAGCATTATGCCGTTTCTTCTTCTGACAGTCTTCCTTTCCCTCATCAACAACTCTCAGTGAAGATTTCCGATTTCTTGTCTCCTGATTTATCTTCTATGCAAAACATCCCTGCTTAACACAGGGAACATCGGTTTTCTAGCTAGAATTAAAAAAAAATAATATAGGCATTTTTCTATTAATTTTGCATATAAGGTTGGTGAAAGAAATTTTAGGATTACTTCGTATAATTCAGGTAATTATGACATTAGAGTTAAGTAATCATATAAAAGTACTTATATTGTCTGAAAAATAGTTCTTGACGTTTTCGTTGTTATTAGCAACGATTTATCGGAAAAGTTTAGATGGGCTTTATTGGTTTTTACCTACCTAGCTAAGTTATTCATGTTAGGAAGTTAATCGCATATTATCTTTTCACAGAACACAACAAAGAAAGAGTCTGATTGTATTTTAAATAATCAAAAAGTATTGAAGTCTTCTGTTTAACTAGGAGTTGTATTCTGTTCCCTCAAATGCTTTTCAGCCCTGCTTTCAACCAAAACTTCCCTGTCTCTAACTAGTGTTTCAACTCGATTAAATCCGAAATCCTAAAATTTTGCTTATTGTACTTTCACTGTATTTAACTGTAACAGTATTTTTCTGTAAGTCGCCTTTTTCTTAAATATATATTTATTTTTAAATTGAAGCATAGTACTCCAGCACACTGCAATAATAGGTTTATTGAGTATACGCAAGGAATTTTGCTCAGAACATTGTTAGTATCGAGCAGTTCACAGACATATTGAATGATTAAGTATGGTCTAATCAGAAAGAGGCATTATATAAATCAGCGCATTTCAGGGAATGAAACTAAATTCACTGCATTTAATATTACATTCACATAGTTATGTACGAGTATTACTGATGAATACGATACCGGATATAGAAACTGCAGTACTGAACTTCTTAATTAAATTTACTTTTGTTTTATTAATCAATTATATCAAAACCCACTAAGAGGCTTTTTAGGAATAGCATTTACATTTTTCCTTAGAAAGATTAACAAATCATTGCGCAGCAAACCTATATTTAAGCAGAAAACAATTTCCAGGTTTACAAGTAATAAGCATAATTAATTCCTAGAACGCAACTCTAAAAATATACATTCTTAGACATAAAAGTGTGTGAAGCTAGAAAAAAGTATTCGATTTTAATGAAACTTCGTATGCGAATGCCTCTCGACTCAACATATGCAAATGATTAAAATTTACCGACCGTAAATGAATAACTGGAACTCCAGCCATCGGACCTAAGCATCCTGAAGATGTATTAAATGAACAAAATTCGAGTCAGGGGAAAGCTTTCATTAGATTTTGATAGCGACTGCTCCACCAGTGATCGAGTAGTTAAAACTGTTGAATCATGGGAGTTCTATCGAGTTCGATCTTACGAGAAAAGGCTGGTTGCACGCTTGATTTTGTGGTTTTACCCATGTATAACCAGAATACCAGCCAGTTTCCCTCAGAGCGTTCACCACGATGTCTTCCCTTCCCTTAGGTAGATAGCCCTTGCATGCTTTGCCGTATTCACATAACCTAACCTTTATTACGACTACCCATCCCAACTGTAAGAGTGCCTCTTCTACTGGTTCACGCTCATTACGAACATGTATCACAATTTGAAAGGAGCCCTACCGTCGGACTTGGGGGGAGGGGTGCAGCGATTAAACAATGCTTGGAGTAATGGGAGAACAGCAGCAGATTTCAAAGTCAAGAGGGAAGTGGTCGACCTAGGGCGAGATTAGAATGGGAAGATAGATTTACCGTCAAAGTGGCTCTCACAAAACGCATCAACGATCTGACATGTGATTCCCAGAAAAATGAGCACTAGGACCACTGACAGGCAACTCAAGAATGGAATCTATGCTTTCGGCTCCCATTATGCCGCTTACCCGTCACCAGTGAGCACCACCAAGTGCAACTGCAATGATACGGTGCTGCTCGACAGATCTGGAACACCACTGATTGAAGACAAATTGTAAATTGTCTTCAGTGATTTCCGATGACCAGTGCAGGCGTGTCTGGAAACATCCAGGGCAGCTTTGAGATCATACCCTCGAAGTCATGTGCGAGATCCCAAGCATCCTGAAGATGCAATATCAATAGGTAGTTATTGTCTGAAATGTCATTTCTTTTGATAGCCGAGCCCATCTGGTTGTCATCCAAGGCAGCTTTATGTAACACGTTGATGAAATTTTGGGATTGGTTCTGTATCTTTTCGCACCGAACCAGAACTACTTGCCAATAAGATAATCGGCCTGTTTTTTTTACTTCAAGCTTGCCAAATACGTAATTGGTCGATTAAGTCACCAGACTTCTCGTTCATAGTAACTTTTGATTTGCTCATACATTTACAAGCCTCTCAAAAAGGCGCTTTCAAAAATCTGCCTACGATGCGGTCGAATGACGCTGACAACTAGGGATAATTTAGCAAGAAGTCCCAAAAGTGGCCCAACGCCTTATTCACCTACTCACTTTAATGGGCCTTTCTCGGGAATAAAGACTTCACCAGTAGCTAAGTAGTTAAGACCCCTGAATATTAGGAACTCGACCGAACTTCGACCTCAGGCGAACGGCAGGCTGCGTGATTAATTTTCGCACCTGTAATGTGAACGAACTTATTTCCTCTAAAGAATCCTCCACGAAGGCATCCCTTTTCTTAAGTAAAAAAGACTCTGATGCTTTTACATACTGAAATAATCTAACTTAATTTTCTCTTGAATAAATTATCCAATATTTCTGACATTGTCATCATTTCTTTTTCCGTACATCACATCTACCGAGTTTTATCTCCGTTTGATAACCTATTCGTGATACATCAAATTGCTTGTCTTAGAAAGTATCTGTATGGAACTGTGCACTGAAGCAAGGGCTCTTAAACTGTACCCTTACCCGCAGAGGTAAGCAGTTACTTCCAAAGGGATACATGAACATAAAATTAGCATATATAAAAAGAATAAAACATAGCTTAGAAATTCGAAGCGAGACAAAGCTGGTTTTCCAGCTAATTTATTGTTGTTAACTGCTGTTTTCCTGTAGAAGAATGCTTGCTTAGATTTATGTTATTTTATTAGGACTTGTTTCCTTAATAATTCCAAGGTTTTTTAAAAGCGTAGCAATTTATACTTTTCTCCGAGAGAAGACTTATGAAGAATATGTTCTCAAATATAAATTTGAGACTTTTGCTATATGGTCTCAAATATAAATTTTAGAACATATTCTCAATTATTCTTGTTTCTTCTTGATATACTTAGTACCAAGT